AGGTAAAATCTATATGTATGACTTACTCTCTCTCTTATATATTGTTACTGTGCACACACCACCCCTTTGGCTACGTCGTTATTCTGTGCATAGTGATAGGTACAAAATTCCATTAATCAAAGCTAAATTTTATAAATAAGAGGTAAAATCTATATGTATAACTTACTCTCTCTCTCTCTCTTATATATTGTTACTGTGCACATACCACCCTTTTGGTTACGTCGTTATTCTGTGCATAGTGATATGATACTTCAAAAGTATCTCCTTCATAGATATCTGAGAGAGCCCTAGATCCAAGATTAATGTCGTGGACCAGACATCTCTATCCATATGATAGAACACAAAGCAAGATGGATTACTTGGCTTGTCATGAAAATATATAATATATAACATTAGATAAAGGTAGCCACAAATTGAAAATTAATGAATAAAATTGCTGTTTAATATATCCATGATCAGTTGATATACCAAATGAATGAAGAATAATTCTCTTGGCTAAAAACAAATGATTCGTCTAATTAACAGAGAGAGAAAAAGTTCACTTTTGGGTCTATACATTCGATTTTAGACTTACTCTTTCATACTAAACTTACTCTCTTATCAGTGATGAAATCCATTAGTTAAACATTTTTGGTTCTTATAAGCTTTTTATTTAGTTTATTTTGTTTTTTGCTGTTGTTTTATCCGAAACCCTAATTAATTATACTAACGCATTGTAACTAGGCGAAGTTATATATACTAACGCTTTAGCACTACTTTCTTGAAGCGGTTATTACGCCTTGGCAGTTCAACGTTGAATTATACCTAAAGAAAAAAAAAATTATACCTATTGATTGAAATATATAGATTAACAAAGCGGAGTAGTGAAAGTCAAAGAAGGCTTTCTCAGTCAACTGGCTTTTTACTTTTAAGGTGGAGGTTAAAGCCACATAATTCATTCATATATTTGAAATTAATGGAAGGCAAACATTTGAAGAAGGTTCAGTGGTTGACAATGGTGAGATCATATATATCAACATGAAATAAACCAAAGAAAGTTAAATGGTAAGAGAAATATAACCTGCTGACCATATGATGAGTAGTTGTCAAGACTTACAGTTTACATCATATGGCCAATTTCAGTTTGGTGTTGATTTTCAAACATGGAATATTTTTGGTACACGCAATTGAGGTTGACACATCATATGTACACACACGTATACTTGTCTCAATGAATGTCTGTAAATACTATTAGCATGACAATAGACTTGTCTGTCTCTCTCTAACGTAAGTACATTAATTAGTACATGTTTGGCTCTGTGAATCTATGAATAGAGAGAGAGAGAGAGAGTTAGAAAATGGAAATCATATAACGCGATAAGATACAAGACATGGACCCCTGGTGGCAATTTCTTTGTACCACGAGGACATAAAGAATTTGTCCTGGAAAAATATAATAAAAAATAGGGACAGGTTATATTTACAAACTTTTTTGTTTATAAATTTTTACAAACTACATTATGTAGGACCGGTCCTACATTAATCACACAGTGTACGATCAGTCCTACATTAGTGTAATTGCAAAAACAGTTTGTAAACGGATCCTGTTCCTAAAAAATAATATTTTTATATTTACTTTTACCTATATCTCATTTTTTTTTTATTTTTGTGCAAAAAAACTATGTACTCCTAGAACACAAAAAATAATCTCTTGTTGTAGGGGCTTAAACAGGGATAGGACAACCCCTCCCTCCTCCACCACCACATGCTGTTCTCTTGTTTGTCCTTTCGAATAACCTAACCCTGCAATTTTTAACCTGCTCTTTGCTTCTTTTCCACGTCTTGGTTCAGAGTAGGAAGATTGATGGGTTACCCTTGATGGATTCTGAAATTATAACTATAGCATTCATTGATCAGAGGAACAATAAGTTCAGAAAGCCATACTCACTTTTTCTGAGGCCCAACAGTGCATATATCACACTCTCCCCCATTTTAACTTTGGTTATTTTGCAATAAATTTTTTTAAATTGTTTGTTCAATGCAAAAATGTGCTATACTATATAATCTGATATACCAATTAAAAGGGACTTGACAGATATTAGGTTAGATATTCTGAGGGAAAGTTGATCAGGGATTAGATTTGGTTCATCAAAAATTCCAAGAAAGAAAAAGTCGAGGCTTTTGGTGATCTCGAGGAGGAAAGCTTTGTCAGGGTGGCTCACACACACACACACACTCACAAAGAGAGAGAGAGGGCCTTCAATTGGAGGACTATATGGACTTGACTCTCACTTGTACAGCTAAGAAGAGGAAGAGCCTCTCTGCCAAGCCATAGTGTCCATCATACCTATATTTTCTTCGCTTGTGTTTAATATTATCAATATATTCATCTTTTACTTGATTAATTCGATTCGAGTTTGTGTAAAATTATATGAACAGTTGCATTTCTAGGGATTAAAATTCAAAATCATTTATTAAATTGAATAACCTCTTACCAATTGATTATTTTGGTACAGGACTATAACTCTTTTGTCAAAAAGAAAAAAATATGAGATAAAAGATGAAAATAACTATAAAGACAAATAAAGTAAAAGTATTAATTTTTTGCCATATTTAAAAAATGATATATTAAAATACCGAGTACGGGATACAGTAATAGCTCTGAAAATATTTTCTTGAAAGGGATAGAGGATGTAGTGATTTATCTGGACTCTTATGAGTGTAACAGTGTCCGTGCTGTGTGCTGCAAGAGGGAGAAAAGTGACTGACAAAAGTGAAGGTAAAAACAGCAGAGGTTGTGAGCATTTAGCTCTGTACTCACTCAGATTGCAAAGACACACACACACATGAATATTCATAAATAAGATTGTGAGAGAGAGAAAGAAATCATCGAAGAAAATAAGGAATAATTTCATGATTTGAGGATCTCTTTTTTTAAAAAAGAAAGAAAGAAAAAAAACTTGGGGTTAATTTAACAGTTATAAACTTGAAGATTCATAACATAAGATAAGATATACATGCAATAAAATGACGGCTTGCTTTGTTTTGGAAGATGAAAGGTTTCACTGTTACTTAAGGGAACAAGGAGAGCAATTGCGGCTGAACTTGTAAGTTGGAACACTGGTTTCTCTTTTGCTTCAATTTTTTTTTTTTTGCCATATATATAATAATCATGAGGGGAAAAATTAAAAAACCCTGACCCAATTGTCTTCTCGGATTTCGAAAGGTTTATTGCTGCGACTTCTGGGATTCTGATCTCACCAGGATCGGTTATAAGAATTTTACCTGTCAAATCAAGAACATTTGCCTAGAAATAAACAATTTCATGAAAAAGAAAATGTATGAAGACTAATAAGGTTATTCAATTCCAATGGTTTAATTGATGAAGCTGCAAAACATTCTAAAAATGTTACAGAACTTATACTAAAATTATTGATGGAATTTTACTTAAGGGTTTGAGCCGCTAGTGAGATATTTTGTTTATCATTGTATCGAAGTCTCGCTCTTACTTTTTAGTGAAATGAAAAAAAGAAAGAAAGATGTGAGATGGTCGTTTATAAAAATATTTGTATTTATGGTCACTCTATCTTTAATACCATGCAAGTTGTTGTCAATGTAGCTGCAGTTTATGAGAGAGAGGGAGAGGGGTCTCACTGTTTCACAGCATATATTGTCTCGGGGTGAGTGTTGCTGGTTGATAGTAACAGTTTCGAAGGGCTAGCTAGGGTACTTCTTGGAAGAGAGACAGAAGAAAGAAATATAAAAGCTGAAAACCCTAAGCATGAACTACTACTACTACTACTTTATGTATTGGATACAATGAGGACAGCGACTGTGGCTCATTATTTCAGATAATTTTTTATTCAATAAATGAGAGTGTGGACTGTGGAGCTGAGCCTCAGTCTCACGGGGAAAACTAGAGACTAAAGTTTTTTAAACCAATAGATTCATCACACCACCTTTTTTCGCAGTACATGATGAAAACTACAACTCAAAACAAGTTTGTATTGCAGCAGAGACATAAGTTCAGACAACACTGCTCTCGTTTTCCTGTTAGTTGAGTTCATCAAACACAATCCCCAACACCCAATGTGTTTCCCCAAAAAACCTATACACTAGCTAGCACTAAGAAAGTTGTTGGATTATCAGAGACTTCAACATGAAAATTCTTTGCAACTTCATATTGTGATTGAGACTTGAGAGTGCCTACATATACTTTAAACTCAAGCGTAATATATATCTTGTTTCTGTGTCTTTGATTGTGACATTTTGCCAATAATTAACTCAACTCTCCTACAGTCACTGACTTCACTTCTGGTGCCTTTATTTTAGGGAAATTATGATCAATTGAGGTTGAGCCAGCCAAAGAAAAATTTACCACGGGAACTATTTAACGCTTAGCGAAGTAAACTAAATGGATGGTATACCAACTACGGTAATTAAGAAAGGAAAGCAATATTCAAATCATTGGTTTTGAACCAGCCATATAAAATTTGAGTAACAAGTTAAAATAACAAATAGAAAGTAAAACGGTGTGGTCCATGCATGAATAAGAGCAAAGTGGAAAACAAAGGCAGAGAATAAATAGGGTAAGTAGGACTATGAGAGTCTAACCCGTAGAGTTAGGCTTTAGAATCGCTCATTTATTCTTAATCATAAACAATGGCAGGGAATGTCAACTTCGCATGCACACAGCACATGCCTAGTTGCATTGAATACACAATAATAAGAGGGTCTAGTAGCCATACATTACTAAAATGCATGCTCTACCGACTTATTTATAGTCCTAAAGATTTTAGAAAAGACCTAGCAAAGTTCTTCGTAGGTTTTTAAACAATACATGTTCATAAAATTAAAAGCCTTGAAATTAAATTAAATAGAAAATAATAGACCTTCAGTTACCTAGCCATAAGAGTAGAAGTAAAGCTAAATAACCGAAGACCATAACTAGATAGATTTATATATATAATACCACCATGCCTAGCTAAAGAGGCATAAACCCTAGATGGGGCAAACATAACTCACAAGTTACCTCCTCCTTCTCCTCCTCCAACGTTGATATCCTCAGAAGAAGTATCAGTCCATGGAAGAGAATAAGGGGAGAAAGTGGTTGGAGATTGACGATAAAAACCACTTCCTTCATTACCAATTCTTGCATTAATTAATGGCCTTTGAGGAATTTGTTGAATTGAAGCGAATCCTGGTGGCAAAGGCATTGATGTTGCTGAAGGGATTTCATTGCAGGCATAGCGAACAAGATCAGCATTAGCAGCATCAAGCTCCTTTTGGAGCTTTTGAACTTGTCTCTGAAGGAAAGAGATGGCACCTACGCATCCATAAACTGGGTCTCTGACACGTGCCTCTGCTTCATAGGCAAGGGAATTCACTGCATCTTCCCTCTGGTGAGGGAGGAGTTCATTAAGGAGTTTGGTGACATTGCTAGCACCAAAAATCTTGTGCACGTTGGCGAATTTTTGGGGTTCTTCGGGTGGAAAGTAAGGTGCAAAGATGCACCCTGGCATGCATTTCCTCCTTAAGAATTTGCAGGCAGCACATGGAGAATTGTAAGAGCTTGATGATGCCATTTTTCCCTGCACCAACAGAAAGATTGCCATGAAATCAATTTAACAAACTTTCCCTTCTCATTCTCTAGTAAGCACCTTTAGTTTCAAATTTATTAAAAAACTGAACGGTCAGAAAACAGAAAATTGGATCTGATGCTATTTCAGTTACACCTTGGTCGTTTGTTTGTGTTAATTTTTTTTTTTTTTTAGGTCATAGTCATCAACAATAGCCACAGAAATTGGGCTGAGGGAATCATATTCATGTTGATTATTGATGCAAAATATATCAATAGTACTAACCGAAAAATATGTATATCTGAAAGACTTCAACTTGGGATAACAATAGACCTCTTATAATATACCCTTTCTTTAAGGCTTTATGATCCATCCCTTACAAAATTCGATCTTACACAGATCCTTCCCAAAAACAACACACGTATACGAGACTTTGATGGGTTTTTTATATATTTTTATATATATATATATATATATATATATATATATATATATATATATATATATATATATATATATATAAGACTATCTTTATCCTTTCTTTTTCTTTCACAAATTTTTTATTTATTTATTTTTTAAAACACATTTTCCTTCTTTCCTTTCTCTCTCTCTCTTTATTTTTTTCAATTCATGAGAAAAAACTCAGTGAGGAATTCTTAATTTTAAACTTGGAAACTCCCTTCATAGTGTTTTCTGAATTTTTTTCCCAGAAAGTTTAGTTTCTGGGTTTGTTTTATCTTCTTCCTCATTTATTCACCAGAAACAGCCATACAAATAGCGCAGACAAGAACACTTTATCTGTATCTTTCTTCTGCTGGAATTCAGCTGCATGATCAAGTAAAAAGTTATAATTTCATTGCGAAATTAAATCAGTTGAACCAGGGATCTGGCTGCAGCAACATTCATGGCTTCATCAGATCAAATGCATAAAATGGAAAAGCCCTACTAAATAGTGACTGCTCAAAAGGATCCATATTTTGTCTATCAACCGTTACTTTACTTAAAAGAACATAAAACAACGAAAAGAACTATATATGCATAAAGAAAAGGAGCAAAGAAGGAAGCTACATGAACATGATTTCACCTGTTTGTGATGTAGGTTTCTTTGATCAGATGGACAAAAAGGGAAATACCTTTTTTTTTTCCCTTGTGGAAGGCCCTTTAGAAGCTGCTCTTTTACCCTCACAAGACAAAATAGCCTTAGCCAATGAGAGATATAAGTTGCAGATTTGTCACAGGAGGAGCACCCTTAAAGAGGAAACCCTAATTGCAAGAGAGACTCAAAGGGAGAGAGAGCGAGAGATAAGGAGATAGGGGGGCAGGGAAACTGATAATTAAGTAGCAAAAGGTAATAGTAAGAGGGGGAAGGCAAACAGCATTGAGTGGATGGAGAAGGAATGGATGCAAAAGACAAAGGTAATAAATGGAGGTACCCCAGAAAAGAATGACTATGACCTTTCATCTAATAATATCATCAAAATGAACAAAGTTGGTTCAAGTGGTATATATTTGATTCTGTTTAAGTAAGATATTGGGTTAAAATTTTTGTAAATTCAAAAAAATCCTCTTTGAAAAAGCTAATCTATCATAATATAGATATTCTCGACTCGAATATAATTGCTTCCTGCAAAATATACATATAATTTATAAAATAAAAATAATATCATGAATGTGGGAATGTCTCCCATTCTCATTCCCTCTCACTCATGCACTCAAATTATAATTTTGGGAAAACATCAAACATGGTATTTAAACACAAGTAAAGGGCACTATAAGCAAATGGGCCATTAATGGTATTGCGAATCAATTGAATAGAAAGGGTTTATAAATAAACAGAAAACGGTCACATTTATAATCGACCAGGATCAATAATAATTAACACCTTAGCCTGCAAACTTAGGCAGTCTTCACTAACTAAATAATAATTTAAGAAGAAGCTTAATGCACTCTGAGGTAGCCTTTGGGACCGTACTCTAAGAAACAAAGTGACCGGAAGAAGTTGAATGAGGATACCTATAGGTTATAAAAAATAATAATAATAATAATTTAAGAAAATTTTTTTACGAAGAATTGAACCTTATATTATTAAAGTGTCTATATCAAAATAATATCAAATTTCATATATATACCTAGTTATGGAGACTTTCCTACTAAGCTATAAGACAAATTATTTTGAAAACCAAAGCTATTAATTCATGAACAACTTAATAAAATGTATCAAGTACCTTTGGAAAGGGTCAGGGGTTTGCTTTACCGTCTTCTTGTATAATTGCCTAAAAGGGTGTGCGTGTCATCTTTTCCATTTCAGGCAGGGATAGATGCCTTTTGTGCATTAATTCATCATTTTCCGTCTTAAGCTCTAAACAATGATGACACGACAGTTATTGTATTGTAGAAGATCAGCATGATATTGGTGGTGATTAAGTATTCAATAGGCCCTCATTACATATGCAATTATTTGATTACACAGATATGATTATTATGTTTAACAATATATACCAGATAGATTTGTTTATTTCCTAGTTTATTTCTTTAACTTTTATCCGAGTTATGTTAGGTTGGATAATAAAATATTGCCCAAGAAATAAACATTTAATCGTGGAATATGTATTTGTTTTGCAAACCTTAAATTGGTCAACAAAGTATCAGCATTTTCTCAGAAGTATTCATAATCATTTTAAAGTGTTAGAGAATAATATTTTTATATTAAAAATGTTCTTATCTAACACCTTAAGATTTTGGATTGAATTGATTCTTTACATGGCGGAACCTCATCACCAGCTTGCCTTAGCTGAAGGTTCAGCTTATAGTGACCCAACCAGACATTGAAGACTCATTGGTAAACTAGTTTATTTGACATCAGGCCTGACTTGAGCTATGCAATCCATACTCTGTCATAGTTCATGCAGAACCCGCATCAACAACATTTCAATGCTGTCATGAGTGAACTTCATTATGAGAAACAGAATCCAGGTAAGGGACTCTTCATGAAGTTCACTTATGCATTACATGTCAAAGCTTATTGTGACTCTGATTGGGCAAGTTGACCCATTACTCGTAGATCCATCACTAGTTTCTTTGTATTGCTTGGTGACTCTTATATTTCGTGGAAGACAAAGAAGCAAGTCACAATTTCAAGGTCATCTATTGAAGTTGAATATAGGTCCATGGCAACTGTAATCGCTGAACTTGTCTGGATAAAAAGTTTTCTTGCTTTCTTAGGAGTAACTCATAACAGCCCCATGTCTCTTTATTATGATAATCAGGCTTCTCTTCTTGTAGCAACCAACCCCGTATTCCACGAATGCACTAAACATATCGAGTTGGATTGCCATTTTGTACGTGAACATCTCTAAGCGCAAACCATCTCCACCTCATATGTTCGCTCCCACATGCAGTTGGCAGATGTTTTTACTAAAGCTTTGGGCAAGGGACCATTTCTTTCATTAGTCAGCAAGTTGGTAATTTCAAATTTAAAATTCAAAACAGTTGTCGCCAGTTGTTGCTGAGTCATCAGTTACAAGGATATGACGAGGCTGTAAGATTATGTGTTGAGTCATGGCTATTATGATAGGATTATGCGCTGAGTCATCTGATGAAGCTGTGATTAATGTGGCTATTATGATAGGATTATGATGTTTGTATTTCAAATTCAAATTGTAGATAAGTCTTCTATTTTTTACCTTTTGTAATATTTACATCTATATATGACGTTTCTTTGTACAGTGAAAGATGAATACAACAAAATATCATTTCTATTATGGTATCATAGCCTCTGTGACCCTGAGGTCAGCATCACTTGTGAAATTAAATAAGCATTAGGTAAAAAAAAAAATTAAACCTATGCAATATTCACATTTCAAGTCCAAAGGGCTCTTACACGATGGGAGGTGTGAGAGAATAATATAAACCATTAAAAAGTTGCTCACTAAACACCTTAAGATTTTATGTTGAATTAGTTCTTTATATAAAGTAAAGTAAGCATAAATAATTGGATTCTACACTGTTTAATTTATAGTAAGTCATTCTAATAAAATGTTGATCGTACACCCTAATACAACGAGCTACAATCTCTATATTTCATTAATATTTCAGGGTGAATTGCAAAGAAAAATGGGATCAATCTATTTCCATCGATCTGAAGACAACGTATATGTAGCTAGCTAGTATTTTATATTCAAGTGGGTATGGAACATATCTTATGTTGATGGTCGAGACTTGGGAAAACATGACACTCAAGAAACATGCCCTCTTGTCCGTTTAAGGCACTATAATATGTAGGCACTCTAGTGAAGCCAAAAATCTCTACATGTTGGAGAGACGAGTCATTTCGTATATCCGTAAATAACTCTAGTGCAGTTGAAGGAGTAATGCTATGTCACACCAAAAAATTGTTTTTGACGTGACAATATTTGATTTAGCCTTAACTTTTTTTATAGTATATTCCCTACAATCATTCCAAACCTTTTTTTTTTAAAGAAACTTGTAAGAATTGATTTTTCTCTCATTTAATTATTCCATGTTCTTAAAAATGTGCTCACGACATTTAGCATTTTCTGCAATTGGTGTTAGAGCTCTAAAGGTCAAATTTAAATTGGTGTGGCAACTGCTTTCAATTTTAGGCCTCTACCGGCATATATAATGTTTAAGCTTTTTGTTTTTGTGTGTATATATGTGTGTTGAGTGCCACAATTTTTTTTAATATTTTATTCTCATTTTTTAAAGAACTAATAAATCAATTTTGCATTTTGGATCGCTAATAGTCATGCTAACTAATGGTTATACTTGACATATTTTGTTGTGTAAAAACTTATGTACTTATTATAAAAAGGAGAGGTAACCCATTTTTACATCTACCTCTAAAACAATCTAGTATTCATTTAATTTTCGAGTGATAGATAATATAGATTTCCTCAATTATAATATTATTATGGGATGGTAGAAGCGACAACCGTGATAGCGACGTATGTATTTACATTAGCTGATAGCAATGGCAGAGTTCCCTT